GGAGGGGAAGTGTCCCACCTGGTCCCCTGCAGACATCCAAACCATACACAGGCTAAGCCCATGCCAGCCTCGGCACAAGGGGGACCCATGACTCCCCCTTCTACGAGTCAGAACAGCCCACACAGGGCTGGACACCTTGTGGGCCCTGGGGCTGCCAGAGCTGCACCGGGCGTCCTAGAGCCTCGGGCAGGACGGTGCCTCTCCGAGGGCTCATCGTCTCTGTCCCAGCAGGCAGCCTCCCACGGCAGCAGGAAGCGAGCTAGACGAGACATCCTGCTCCCACCCCACTCCGCTTCCTGCCCCCAGTGCAGCCTCAGCCAGGGGTGGGGGTGGGGGACAGGAGCCAGGCCTTAGCCTCATGGTTTGTCTGTCCCTCAGGATCCAGCCCCTCTGCAGGCCAGGGTCATGCGCCGCCAGCCCTGAGCACTTCCCGGCCAGCCCGCGTGAAGGAGGAGCACCGCACACAGCTGCCCCGCCCCAGGCCCCGTCTTGCTGACCTGCTTTGGCACGCTTTTTAGGCTCCTGAGCTGGGGGGCCGCGGGAACCCATCAGCCTCTCTAGGCTGCATCCAGGGTGGTACCTGTCCTGTGGGGTAACTGCCATATCCTGAGCTTGTGGACGGTCCTGCCAGCTACGGGTCGCCACCGGCCAGCCTGCCCCAGGGACACAGCCCGTCCATCGTCACAGCTGGGGGTGCTTCTGGCATCTGGCAGGCAGCAGCTGGTGCTGAACACCCCAGTGTGCTCAGCACAGCCCCGGTGCAGAACCCTGGTCCCGAGCCCAGTAGCAGCTCTGCGCGGGTGCGGGGACTGTGTGCGTGTGGGCACTGGACGGACCCGGCAGTGGGCTGCAGGAGCCTCGGCGCACGGCTGGTGGGATTCTCACGTCACTCCTTGCACGGCCTCAGAAGGCAGAGTGCAGACCGTGGAGCCTGTCTGTCTTTTACTCTACTTTTAGATTTTTGCCACAGGATGTGTGCACTCCCCAAAGAGACAGAGACAGAGAGAGGAGAGTGAGAAATTGCCCCCAGGGGGCCCGGCCGCTCTGCAATCCCTTGTTCTCCATTCCCCCTCAGAATTCGGGTATGCACACATGTACACGGTGTGACTTTCAAACCACCAGGTCTGGGACTCAAACTGCGGTCAGCCATGTGGGAGTCTAACCGCCTTAACCTCCACGCCACCTGCTGGCCCCTAGTGCCTATTTTTCAACAGGGAAACAGGCCTGCAGAGGGCCACACAGACCCAGAGCCAGAACTGAGACCCCAACTCCGGCGTGTGTAAGGAAGCCGCCTCTCCGGGAGCCCTCGAGG